CAGGACTAAGTAGCAAAAGAACAAGAACCTGTTTTGCCGTATGTGTCTGGCATATAACAGGAGCATTGTGGGTAGCTATTGACTGAATACATAAATTAAGATCTAACTTCATGAATTAATGAATGTGCCATTTATCCTGTATACAAGGGACCTGGAGACAACCTAAACCAAGAATCAAAACTATCAAAATAAGGGCGCCAGGGTGGCTCAGTCAGCGCAGCGTCTGCCTTCAGCTCAGGTCATAATCTCAGGGTCTTGGGATAGAGCCCCACATCGGGCTCTCTGCTCAGCAGGGAGCCTGCTTCTCCCTCTCCCTCTGCTGTTCCCCCTTCTTGTTTTCTTTCTCTCTGTGTCAAATAAATAAATAAAATCTTTTAAAAAAATTTAAAAAGATGTCAAAATGACCGTACAGGATTCATAGAGCTGATTTCATGGCAGATATAAAAGTTAAGGGGAAAGCCTTTAGATTCACAGCCCTTCATGGTCTTTCCAAAGCCAGCAGCCGATGTTCACCCAGATCTCTCTGATGACCTCACATCTTCATGGAAACGAATTCAGAGAAAGAGACAAATAAGATCATATGAACTTACATCTGTCAGGAGATGAGAAAGTAGGGGCACAGTTGTCTTTGCAAGCTATATCTTGTTCCCAGGAAAGAAGCACATTTTTTCTGAGATAAGTACTTACCTACAGACACATGAAAAATTACCTTCTAAATCTCCCACATGTTAGGATCATATATGTACACAGTAATTTTAATAAGCTTTATGTGTTATATAGCAAAAGCATTAGTAATTTATTTATCTTTTAAAAATTTATTTATTTATTTGAGAGACATAGCAAGTGAGAGGAGAATCTTCAAGCAGACTCCCCACTGAGCACAGAGCCCCATGCAGGTCTCAGTCTCACAACCGAGGAGACCACGACCTGAGCCAAAACCAAGAGTTGGTCACTTAACTGACTGAGCCACCCAGGTGCCCCGAGTATTAGTGTTTTAATGTCTGAAATAATACTTTACTTATGCATTATACAGAATAAAATGAGAAATATTTCATATTTTCTCATGTAAAACACCACCACCCTATGTCCTCTGGAGAGTTTGTTTTATTTATTCATTCAACAAACATTTGTTTAAAACTGTTTGTTTGAAACAGTTAGAAACTGGTGGTGCTGCAAGAAAGGCATTGGCCCTCAAAGAAATGACATCGTAATGGAAATAGATAAAACACTGAACACAGAAACAATAAGGTAATTTGCAACAACAAGACTACCTAGGACTTAAAGTGAGAAAAGTGACAGAGACTTTAAGGAAGGAGTGTTCCTTGAAAGGGCCTTGAGGGACTGTCTTTCCAAGAAGGTAAGATGTGATCTGACACCGGGTGTTATATGCAACTGATGAATCACTAAATTCTACCCCTGAAACTAATAATACAGTTAATTAAATTGAATTTAAAATTTAAAAAAATGTGAGCTGAGAGATAAATTTTAGGTGGACGCTTTCTATCAGATATATGGAGAAGGAGTTTATAGGACAGGAAACAGCAAGTGTAAAGGCTCTAAGATGCAAATACATTTGGAATCTTTGATGGGCTGCAAATAAAAAGAGGTTGAGCTAATCAGGTTCTTCCTAAACATGTTTGCATTTTACTATTATGTGGCAAAGCAAGTGAAAAAAGTGGTTTTGGGCAAGAAGGAGAAAAGCAGGGCAAAAACAAGACTGACCCTAGGACGGACCAGGTTGTAAGACTTTGGACAAAGTCTATCTTCTACAGTTTATACCGTATTTCATTAGGTGACACCTAGTTACGGTGAACCTCAAAGTGAACAGTAACCTGCATTTTTGAAACAGGCTACAACTACAGCCAGCAATATAAATGAAAATATAATGATGTCGTGGTGTAAAATCATCTTCTGAGTCCTGCTTATGGAACTGGGTCAAGCCAAGTCTGAGTAGTGTCAATAAAAGGTGATATTAAGTCAGAGAGACTAACTAGAGAGCTGTTTTTGTGGTAGAAAGCTGAGCAAAGTAGGGCAAGGTGGCTCAGAGCAATCTGTGATCTCTGGCAGGAAAAGTCTACAGTACAATCAAGGAACGGAGGCAGAATCTAAGGTAGGAGGCCAAGTCGTATGCTTGTGGCCCAATAAAGAAATAAAATCAGGAGCTAAGAGGTTTGGAATCAGTTGGAACAGAAGAGCAAAGATGGCTTACCCCCATAGCTGTGAAACGTCGGGGAGTTGGAAGTTATGTCTATGTGATGTTGATTCTGTTACCTGAGATGATCCTGACCATGTCAGGAGACCCCTGGGAACAAACGCGATGATCAAGTTCAGATAATTTAAAATATCACATACATGCACATCTTCATGTATTGTTCCATTGGAAACTGTGTCTCCCCAGAACAGCATTTCCTGAAAACCGATGTTCGAAGCTATTAACTTGATACAGTTCTTTATTTATTTTCACATCCAAGTTCAGGCATTACTCAGAAATTTGTTCCTTTTGCCAATATATACTGTAAGCCTGTTATAGATACACCTTTTATACACATCATGTATTTAGAGGAGCCAAGATATAAATATTGTGAAGAAAATAGCCAGCATAATTTCCTGCATTATCTGAGATGATTGTCTCATTTCAAAGCCTACATTTCAAAGCCACATTAACTTTGAATCTGGGCCCAGACTTGCCTGACTCTGTTGCATTAACTCTATTTCCATTGTCTCACTATAACATGTGAGACAGAAACAAATTTAAATTGTTCAGTGCCCCCTGGAATCTTTCACTCCTGGCCCAGCACACAATGTTCTATTCCATGGTGAGAGGAGAGTTAACCACGGTTATAACAAAGCACCACTAGGAAGAGAAATCTGAACTATTATTTAATTTCTTGTCATCGATAAAGCTTATCACTTTGCTTCCCTAATAAGTAGAAGCAGCATTTTCACCCACATGTTTAAGTCATTGATTCAGAAACCTTTCTGGTGAGTCCCTTCTAATGTGTCAGGGATCATGTTACGTGCTAAATACACAGTTCTGAACAGAGTAGACAATCTGCACCTGTGTATATACCCATATAAATTAAAAATTAGAGACAGATTCTATAAAGGACACACATACAGGATTGAATGTAATCGAGTGGAGGAAGGACAAAAAGTCAGGAGCTCAGACAAGCCGATCCAAGGGACCACGTTGTGTAAAAGATCATCATTCAGCTTGGCCCAGCTTGGTCCTGTCCTGCCCACTTAACGACTTTCCTCCAGCCTAGTTCTTATCAGATGTTTATGTCATCTTAGACAACCTGTTGGGACAATATTGATGAGAAGAAAATACACGTCGGTTCTATTTCTTACGTTGCTGCTCTACCTGCTGCTTTTGTTTTGTTTTGTTTCTTTCATCTCTGGCCTGGACCAAATAGATTTCTTAAACTGCTGCTCTTCTAGAAAGACATTCTCTGTCGTCTTAAAGATAAATCTTATCACATATCACATATGAGTGGAAAGCTCAGAGGTAGACCTTGGGAAGGATCCAAGTCATAGTCGCTACTCTTCAGGAGATTGGAAATAGGAGCAGATGCTATATGAAGGTGTGTTCCTGGCATAGAATATAAAAGATAGTGGTTTGGTTGGAAGAATACCACCTCAAAAGGAGGACAACAGACTTTGATGCTTCACTGATCCATGGTACCCTGAAAGGGTACATTCCACGTGTGACAGCTTGTCCAGGGATCTTGGCCCTAGTAACTAATCTCTTCCTCTCTGTTGCCGCAAAGGCCACATCTCCTGTCTGGAAATGGATGATTATGTGACATTTCCTTATTTGGGTCTACATCCATGCCCTTTGTTACCCCTGAGTTACCATAAGCTTTCCTAAAATTTATATGTCTTTCCATTTTGGCACTGGAGATCTCTCTGTCGTTTGTACTCAGCTTTGTATTATTATTATTATTATTTACTTTATCAGCATTTAAAAATATTTTTAGGGATGTCTGTGTGGTTTAGTCGGTTAACCATGTACCTTTGGCTCTGAGTCCCACATCGGGCTTCTTGCTCAGTGGGGAGCCTGCTTCTCCCTCTGCCTGCCACTCCCCCTGCCTGTGCTCATTTTCTCTCTCAATCTCTCTCTCCCTGTCTAACATAAATAAATAAATAAATAAATAAATAAATAAATAAAATCTTTAAAAGAAAAACCCTCCCTTTAAAAAAAAATTAAAAAATAAAAATATTTTAGCAGTGGAATCTGGTGGTAAGATGGGAGTTACAGATGGTTGTTGTCTACATCAGTTCAGTCTGCCTTGTGATTATAAACCAGGGAAAAATAGCAGTCTGAAAACCTTGAACTTTCCTTTCTTCAGAGTAAAATAGTAATAATGATGCCAGTTCCACAGATGTTAGCATAAAATTATTTCTTGCATGTGAAAGAGCTTGAAATATTGTGAAATCCTATGCAAATATAAGAAAGTGTAAATATTACAATTTACAACCACATTGGATTAACTCCTACCACTTAACAAGGCCCATGGGAAATAAGTGTTTTATTAGAAACAAAGTTGATTTTTTTCCAATCTGTGGGCAAACTGAGTGGCGCTGCAGGCTAATCTGAGAAACACAGGGCCCTACATTGCCAGGGGAATGGTTTGTAATAAAAGAGATGGACACCAAGAGAAAGATGGCAGGTTTCTACAGACATTGTCTACAAAGTGACCCTAGAGGACCTGTCTTTGCCAACAAACTATCACAACTGAAATCACATCAAGTAACATATGTCTCTGAATTTCAGTGTTCAAAATGTATCATGAGACACAGTAGCTCCTAAAAATAGACTGAGTGTGCCTTAAACAGTGAGTGTGTCAGAGTGGAATTTAGAAGTTAGGAAGTTAACATTTGAAAACTGGTAGGTATTTGTGGGGGAAATGAGTGTAGGCTGGGAGGATGGGGAGAATCAAATCAAAGAAAGTACAATCGGAACCACATGTAAAAGTTGTCCTCTCTTTTTTCTGTAGGACTCACAGCTGAAGGCAATGAAGGAGACTGTGCATCTCTGCCTATCTACCGTGTTCGGTAATCAGGCTCCTCCTTTGAGTCTAACGAGGCCAAGTCCAACTCAGCTGCCACTTCTACCTGGGACAGTGAGCCCTGTGATTCCTGATGCAAGTTCAAAATTCCAGGTACACTTCAATCATGCTTTGAAAGTAGAAGCAAGTGAAGCACTGTCTTTATACTCCATTCTACATGATTATCAGAGAGGACAGAGTAAGACACAAAATTCATTGAAAGATTAGGAAGTAAATGGAAGGCACTAACCCTTTGTAAAGTATCCGTTGTCACTTACAGAACATTGGACAACAATGTTTGTTTTATTTTTGGTTTGTTTTTTTAATTTTTTTTGAAGATTTTATTTATCTATTTGATGGAGAGAGAGAGATCACAAGTAAGCAGAGAGGCAGGCAGAGAGAGAGGGAAACAGGCTCCCTGTTGAACAGAGAGCCCAATGCGGGACTCCGTCCCAGGACCCTGAGATCATGACCTGAGCCGAAAGCAGAGGATTAACCCACTGAGCCACCCAGGCGCCCCAACATTTGTTTTAGAGAGCCAGCTGCGTGTTAACCAGAATTGCCTAATTACAAGAATAATAATTATTATTCTAAAATAATCTAAAATTATTTTAAAATAACATTTTAATAGTACTATTTCAATTTATAATCATCATGACTTAATAATAGAATGTTATCATATAATTTAATACGATTATATTACTAATCCTATTTTAATAATAATAATGATAGCTTTGTTTTGTAATTAATTAAAGAAAGCATCTTCTATTCTATACCAGTATATACCAGAGGTTTCAACATGGAAAATACTTTCTCCTAGGGTATAACGGTCATCCTTACAAAAGTGGATACTTTTTTAAAAACTTAAGGCCATAGTTTTCAACATTTCCTGTATATGTGACTCTCTCAGGATACTTTAAGAAAATCCTGACACTTGGGACTCACCTCAAACCTATTAAATTCTTTCTGATTGGGCTCTAAGTCATTAGTAGTTTTTAAAAGCTCCCTAAGAGGTGCACCTGGGAGGCTCAGTGGGTTAAGCCTCTGCTTTTGGCTCAGGTCATGATCCCAGGGTCCTGGGATAGAGCCCCACATCGGGTTCTCTGCTCTTAGGGGAACCTGCTTCCTCCTCTATCTCTCTCTCTGCCTGCCTCTCTGACTACTTGTGACCTCTGTCAAATAAATAAATAAAATCCTTAAAAAAAATAAAAAATAAACAAAAGCTCCCTAAGAGATTCTGAGACCAGGTGAATCAAGCAAAACTTCCTCAATTACCACCACCTCTCTACATTAGACAGAGCAGTGGGGAGTTTTGTCATTCCGTGCTTCAGTCATCAGAACCTTCCATTTACTGGCTCTACGTTTAAATAAACCCAGACACTCTGAAATAGTTACTGGAGAAAGTGTAGCTTCATGCAGTATATTTGAAAGTGCTGGGTCTCTTGCCTTAGGACCACTGGCTGTTAAAGTGAGTGTTCTGGATGCCAGTCCCACGTCTGCTGCAGACTCTAACAATGGTGGGCCCAGAAGCACCTGAGAACCACTGACGCAGTTACCCAGTGATACACTACTGTGGGACTTCCTTACTGCTTATTCTGATTCCCTACACTGGAATAAAACAAATTTGTGCATCTATGTACAAATGGCAGTTTAGAGAAATACTATTTTCAGAGTCAAAACCAAGAGGGAAAAAAAAATGTAATGTGTTTTTATTGATGACTAATCAATGTATGAACTGCACAGATTTAGTCTGTATAATCTCATGTTTCACTGTCAAAAGTCACTTAAAATATATATATATATTTTTATTTGATCTTATTCTCTTTTTACTCTGTACCTAAGATCTCTAGAAATGTTTAGGCCAGTATTTTTCTCCTTTATTTTTTCCTCCTGCCTCTTTGGAAACTCTAGGTCTAAAGGGTTTGTTTGCTTTACCAAAGGCAGGGAAGAAAGTTGCATAATAATGTATTTGTTATGTTTAGGAAAAGTCATGAAGAAATCCCTTGACACTGGTCACTGGTAAAATGCCAAGCTTCTCACACAGTGTCACGCACCTACTGGGAAGCCACACCCTGCCTCCTTAGTTTCCGTCTAAGAGAGGAGCAAAGGTTCAGCCTTATTAAGTCTGATGACTTTGGGCAAAGCACTTTGTAATTCTAGGGGCACGCAGGACACCTATCTCCAACTCAAAATATGTTTGTTTAGGCCCAATTAAAACTGGGCTCTTGATGACCCTGAATGTGTGGAGGGATTACTGATTGTTACTTTAACGGATTTACTATGAATAAATGTATGTCCTGTCCTTGAAATAAATAATAAATATTTATTATTTCCCTTTGCTTATCAGAGAAAAATGTAGGAAGCATTTAGGTGAGGCTGGTTTAGAAATTGCTCATTTCTCAGAAAGCAATAACAGAAAAAACCAATTGTTTAAGATAAAGTTCAGTAAATCTCAGTTCATGTACTATAGAGCATTCTATTTTATGGATTAGCATTAAAAGCTTCTCTAGTGTTTATGATTTGCCTGCATTCTTTATCTTTTCATTAGTGGTGGAAATTGTATTTTATGTATACTTGGGGTTTTGGCTGTATGCCGGCGCTTCAGAAAATATTTCTAAAATCCTGGATAATGTGATGTGATGGGGGGTGTGAGTAAGAGAGACCCTTCCATCACGGAATCTTTTTTTCTCTGTGCGTGAAAAAAGGAACTTTTAAATGAGGACATTTAATGGGTACACCTTCAGAGTTGGCTAATTACAGCTGCAGTGACATGATATGTCTGCCCATAGCTGTGAGGGGATCACATCTCTTACCTTCCCTGCGCCTCAGTTTCCTCAAGCCCCTGTCAGAGTGTTGTTGTGGCATGAACATTACAACTGATAACTCCCCCTGTTTTCATTAGATTACTATTGGTCTCATCTACTTTCATTTGTTTTTTTTTTTTTTAAGATTTTATTTATTCATTTATTTGAGAGAGAGAGAGAGAGAGAGAGAGAATAGTGAGAGAGGGAACACAAGTAGGGGAAAAAGGAGAGGGAGAAGTAGGATCCTCACTGAGCAGGGAGCCCAATGCAGGGCTCGATCCCAGGACCCTGGGATCATGACCTAAGCCATAGACAGATGCTTAATGACTGAGCCACCCAGGCACCCCTTCATTTGGTTTCTTAAATCTTCAACTCTTGAATGGTTTTCCCTGAAATCCCTGAAACACAGCCAAGTAAGCAATTTTCAACTCACATCTGGAAGAAAGACAAAATACCCACATACCATGCTCCGCCCCCTATAATGTCATTCTATTTTTCCTAAAGAAGGTTTGGTAATGCAGTCAAAATTTTCATTGTGTTGTTCATATGTGTAAATGTATATGTGTATACATGCATACATACATACATATATGCATTATTACATTAAATATGTGTGTATGTATATAACACACACATTTGTGTATATTTCACTGTGGATTTTTTTTTTAAGATTTTATTTATTTATTAGAGAGAGAGAGAGCACAAGCAGGCAGAGGCAGAGAGAAGCAGGCTCCCCACTGAGCAAGGAGCCCAATGCGGGACTCGATCCCACGACCCAGGGATCACGACCTGAGCCAAAGGCAGCAGCTTAACCAACTGAGCCACCCAGGCGCCCTTCACTGTGGATTTTAGTAGCCACAGTTTTCCTTAGGTGGGGAGTTCAACATTATAAGAATCTACTGACAAAAACTTAATTTATATATTGGTAACCTCTACTTTTTTAAAAAGATTTATTTATTTGAGAGGGAGAGAGAGTGTGTAAGAAGGGGTAGGAGCAGAGGGAGAGAGAGAGAGAGAATCTCAACAGACTCCCCTGCTGAGCACAGAGCCTGGATGCAGGGCTCCGTCTCATGACCCTGAGATCATGACCTGAGCTGAATCAAGAGTCACTGAACGGACTGAGCCACTCAGGTGCCCCCGGGAACCCCTACCTGTTTTTATTGATTCTGGAGGATGCTTTTTGTATGATGTTCGAGTCCTACAGCTGAAGTTTCTGCTGAGGACCCGCAGTCAGGTCCGTCAGCCTCCCTTCCTTCATCATATTCTCCATGTTGTTATGTTGCTTCTTTCTAATTTGAGTGAATCCTTTCTACCCTCCGAGTTCCGTTTCTATTCTCAGGGCTCTGACAGCACAGTGTTTATCCCTCACGGCTCCTGGTCACACCATGAGTATAATGATGGCTGCATGCTCCTCTCTCCTTAAAGGAGACGGCTGTGCTTAGCTCCTTGGTTTGTTCCCATGATTGGCTGCCCAGAATGACGTTTCGGCAGAATTCATTTGAAACGATACTTGCCGTATTTCTGTTTTGGTCAGTTTGGGCTGTTATAACACAATGCCATAGACTAGGCCACTTAAACAACAGACACTCATTTCTCCCAGTTTGGAGGCTGCGAAACCCTAGGTCAAGGTGCTCCCAGGTTTAGTTCTTGATGAGGGCCCTCTTCCTGGAAGGTACACAGCCTTTGGCTGAGTGCTCATTTGGTCTTTTTTAGATATGTGTGACTGGAAAGAGATCTCTCTCTTTATATTTTTTAAAGGAGAGCAAGAATCCCACCATGAGGGCCCCATCATTATGACTTAATCTAAACCTAATTACCTCCAGAAGGCCCAGCTCCTAATAGCATCGTACTGAGAGCTAGAGCTTTAACATAGGAATTTTAGATGATACAGATGCTCAATCCATAGCATTGTCCCTCTTCTTGGATATTTTCCTTATTTAGAAGGTAGAAAATATATATTATTGAGTGCTCATTAAGTGCTTAGTATTCAAATAAATTGTTTTCCGCCTGTATGCCAGGACCATGCTCATCAGTGGGGATGCAAGTTTGAAATCACACGACCTTTTGGACACTGACTGAATTCCCTGTAAAAAGAGAACAAGAGAAAAAAATGCAAGGGTTGTGTGGTAAATCAGAACTTTTTTTTTTTTTTTTATTTGGAATTTCATATTCCAAATAGCTTTTATTGAAGATAAAGACTAAAGAGACCTGGATCCAAGGGCACATGAAATGATGTCTTTGTTATGAGAGTGTATATTTATTATGTAGAAAATTTCATTCCAACAGAGAGGTAAAGAGCAAAGGTAGGAG